ACTGGCTGATTTAAGTTCTTCACTGCTGTTTTTTGTGGATCTATTCCAAGGCAATGTTGAGAACAACGTAGGAATTTTTTTCAGGGGAGGGGAGTGTGGTAGAAAAGGAAAACAGCTACTTATTCCTTCTAAAAGACTTATGAAGTCCCTTTTATAAGGCCCAGTCATTAACAGAAGATGACAACAGAGTCATTTTTCTTTCAGCTGACAATTGTGACATTTTTCCAGCAGTGTGCAAGGTGTTGAAAACCTGGCAGCTGTTACCTCCTGGGATGAAGATACTTTTTTATCCTCCCTTGACAGTTTAACTCAGTGGGTCAGCACCTTTAAAGACTGCAAAGTATCCTTGAAGAGGATGGAAGCTTGAATTACTGCTCCCTCCCTAATCAATGTAAACCCTCACTGCAGGTGAAGTCTCCACTATAGAGGTGCATGGGGGAGGAAAATGTAATGCCCTGAGCCAGATGGTTTTTATCTTGTTTTTAAAGAATAAAGGAACAAGCTAACAAGGGAGACAGCTACTTTGTTAGCTTCTTGGCCTCTCTCATGGCTTTGCATCCCCAGGGTTCCAGCTACACAAGAGAAAGAATACAGGAAAACGTAAACACTTAAAGAAATATAACTAGAGGGCTGGCATCATGCTGCTTTCAAAGAGTTGAGAAAGCTCTACTCAATGCTTTATTTATCACTGCCCACGTTCTCAGGACGGTAAGTGGACACATACACAAAGGGAATGGGGGATGGGAGAGGGATTAGACAACGGTCACAATTTACTCAATTACAGAGAAAGGCAGGGCTGACAGATCCTATTAGCACCAATGAGAAGCAAAAAGTTGCACGTTGTAAATGCCACATTTTCAGAAAGTAATAAGTACTTTCATGTATCCTCTCAGGCCTTTGCCCTTGATTGCAGATAGAAATAAAAGGTAGGAAAACAGTGGCTACCCTGTCCTTGACTTCACATTTTTAAGAGTAAAAGTAAAACAAAAATTGTAGCCATTTTGTACATCCTTTAAATAAATACTTATACTTTTTTCAAGAAATGAGATTATTCTGAAACTAACAAAATTAACTTTCTTTACAAGGATATACTGCTCTACTTCCTTTCCCTACCCCACACTCTTCCACCTTTAGATGTTGGAAATGAAATGGAGAAGCAGGTAAGGGACACAGGGAATAGTGTCTTAATTTTCTCCTTCATTATTTCTTGTTCTGGTAATATCTTTGTCAGGTTTTGGAATTACTGTTAAGGTGGATTTATAAGTCAAGAAGTGTTCTTTCCTTCTCTATTCTGTGAAAGGGTCAAAAAATTCTTGTCATTTCTTTCTTAAATATTTGTTGAATTCACCAGTAAACCACATATGCCTTCTGATAATTAAATTTCTTTAATAGACATAGGGCTATTCAAATTTTGCTTCATCCTGTGTTATTTTGGTAAGTTGTATTTTTCAAGGAATTTGTTCAACTTGCCAAATCTGAACTTGCCAAATTTGCAAATATAAAGTTGTCTGTTCCTCCAATATTTAGATAGTTCTCCAAATAAACATGTAGTAATGTCCTATCAACAATGGCAAAACGTTATTTTTGAATAATATATGTAAACTATAATGTTAGTTAAAAACAATACTAGGGGCCGGGCGCGGTGGCTCAAGCCTGTAATCCCAGCACTTTGGGAGGCCGAGGCGGGTGGATCACGAGGTCAAGAGATCGAAACCATCCTGGTCAACATGGTGAAACCCCGTCTCTACTAAAAATACAAAAAATTAGCTGGGCATGGTGGCGCGTGCCTATAGTCCCGGCTACTTGGGGGCTGAGGCAGGAGAATTGCCTGAACCCAGGAGGCGGAGGTTGCGGTGAGCCGAGATTGCGCCATTGCACTCCAGCCTGGGTAACAAGAGCGAAACTCCGTCCCCCCACCAAAAAAAAAAAATACTAAATTGCTAGAATATAACTGAACTTTTTTATAATCAATAGTGAAAGAGTTTCTGAAATACCATTAGAAATATCTGCAAAAGAATCTCAAGTTAATGAGATGTAAATCCTACTTCTATTAACACTAGGTATAAGGTGGCCTTGACATCTTTTTTGTCTATAGAAATTGACTACAGGAGGAAAACAAAAACAAAAAACAAAAATAGCAAAACAGCAAATGGCACTCCATTATGTCAAATGTAATAGAGAAAAGGAGTTTAAACAGCTTATATACTATGTCCTACCTTAAAAAAATCAGCAATGGGGTAATCAAGTTCAGGGCAGTCCTGGACAGCTGCCCTGTGACCCGCTTCTATTGACCCCTGCTATTCATCACCCTTCCCTAAGATAGAGAGGGCAAGCTCCCAGGGAGTGACCACCACAATAGACAGACACAAGCCAACAGTAATCTGGTTCGAGCAAAAAACCAGATGGCACTGCAATAAATTTACAAATCTGCATTCATGGGGCTGTTAAAACACCCAGAAGCTAAAAGACTCTGAGGGCCCCAGGAGGATCTCCTACTTTCCTGTTTCTAAAGGCCATTTCTCTTTCCAAGAACATTGAGTTCATGCTCTTCACAAAGAGAATGGAGATAAAACACTTTACAAAGAAGGGAGGAGAAAAAGCCTCATGACCTAATTAATCTCCAGAGCTTGGATCTCAACACTGAATGTCAGATATTAGAAAAATCATTTCAGAACACCATGAGGCAGGGAAAAAAAGGTTGTTAAATTAAAGTGGGAGGGGGAAGGGGGAAGAGAACTGCTAAAACAGCAATGAAAAAAACAACATTAAATCTCTTTCGAATACTGCACACAACAGATCTTGCAAGTAGAAAATGATTCAATAATGTATGCATTTATTTTTAAAATGAATCAGATTAGTCCCATGTGTGACCTGCTGGTCCATCTGTATGTGCTGGACTTAATAGGCACGATTCTCTCTTTTGCTTCAGTTTGAAGTATGAGAGAGATAAATTTAGTTTAATTTTCAACAGATCAGCCTATCCATTTTCCAAATGGACCATCTGGATCAGCCTATTAAAATTAATTTATAACTTTGCAGAGTGAAAATTCGTTTGTTAGCTTAAATAAAGTTGCCAAAACTTTTTGTCGTGTCATTGTTTTCTGACAGTTGTTTCTGTATAGTGGGCAAAGTGTTTCTACTTCAATTTATCTTATTCAATATTGTCCTATTGATTTAGATGAACAGATCTGGTGTTGATTCTCCAAACAGTTAAAATTGTTAACTGTCTCAACATCAATTACTGATTTTTTTTTTTTTTTTTTAAAGAAAAGCTTCCTGGATGATTCAATTCTGTTTACTAAACAATTGTTTTTATAAAAAAGGAATAGTGTTCATACAAAAAACATTTAACATATAGTAAATTAAAAAATGAATGTGTCACAGTTTCAAGTACTTACCCTCTAAATTAATACTATATATAAACTGAAGTCAGAAGGCACAAGTAGAAATGCTTTGGAAAAACCGAGACCTGAGTATCAAATCACTAATTACCTAGACAAGTCATCTAACCTTTCTAAGCCTCCATTTTCTTCATCTATAAATTGGAAACCACATCATGTCTAAAAACTTTACAGGGTTATTGTGAGGGTTAAAGCAAATAAGCATCATGTTCATGGTGGGTGCTCAACAAATACTAGATCTCCTATTTCCTAGAACAATGCCATAAATACAAGTAAATTAGAATTATTTTTACTGCTGCTCAGGCTCATTGTATCCAATTTTATATTAAAAATGAATAAGGGCCAGGCATAGTGGCCCATGCCTGTAATCCCAGCACTTTGGAAGGCCAAGATGGGCGGATCACCTGAGGTCAGGAGTTCGAGACCAGTCTGCCCAACATGGTGAAACCCTGTCTCTACTAAAAATACAAAAATTAGCAGGGCATGGTGGCATACACCTGTAATCCCAGCTACTTAGGAGGCTGAGGCAGGAAAATCACTTCAACCCGGGAGGTGGAGGTTTCAGTGAGCCGTGATCGTGCCACTGCATTCCAGCCTGGGCAACAGAGTGAGTCTGTCTCTAAACTAAACTAAACCAAACCAAATTAAACAAAAAAAATTAAATTAAATTAAAAAACGAATAGGTAGCACACTTATTCTCTGGCAACATTGTAAGAACTTGTGTTTTTTGTTTATGCCAAAGACGTTTTAATATTTACAAGACCACAATGGTACTGAACTTTCACATGTAAAATGTGTTACCTTCTAGAGGTGGGGCACAGAAGTGAGCAAATTTTTTTTTTTTTTAATTGGTGTCAGGACAGAGTCTTGCTCTGTTGCCCAGGCTGGAGTGCAGTGGCTCGATCTCAGCTTACTGCAAACTCCGCCTCTTGGGTTCAAGTGATTCTCCTGCCTCAGCCTCCCCAGTAGCTGGGATTACAGGCACCTGCCATCACACCTGGCTAATTTTTGTATTTTTTTAGTAGAGATTGGGTTTCACCATGTTGGCCAGGTTGGTCTCGAACTCCTGACCTCAGGTGATCCGCCCACCTCGGCCTCCCAAAGTGCTAGGATTACAGGCGTGAGCCACTGTGCCCAGCCACAAAGTTTTTCTTAAGTTATTATTAATAATGGCCTTTCCTTCTAGAAAAAGCAAACAAAGTATTGCTCAGACTAAAAGGGCTAACTTTATTATAGGCAGATCTGTTTTGATACTTTTTAAAAAAAGTCTGAAGAATCGTAACAGGAAAATAGGAGTTAAAGTCAACTATTCTACCATCTACACTTAAGCATTTAAAATTACTTTTCCCAAATAAAAACTCTTTTCTTTGAATCTGTATTCACTACACGTAACCAGCTGACTGTCCTGTACACGTATACATAGAATGTTTTTTAAACAACCAGGAAAACAATGTCACCTGATTGAAACTTATGGCTATGGCCAGGCCAACTTCAGAGTACTCTTAAGCTCCAGTGCTTAAAGAATGGCAAATCCAGGGTTTCCTATCTTTTGTTTTGTTGTTGGTAGCTTTTTATTTTAAGGAAGACTGAATTTCATACCTGTCTAAGTGAATTCTTCTCTGGTATTATCTTCCTAGGGGGTTCACCATTATTACAGTCTTCTCTCTCTGAGGAATTCTGTGAAAGAAAGTAAGCTTTAATTCAGTTCTCATTATCTTCAATCTTATTCTGTGGGAGTAAACTGAATTACATTTCTAATTCTGTAAGCTAAAAATACATATATTTATACAATTCACTTGAATATTTGTATACATACAGATATTCACGTATGTAAAGGAAAACATATGACCCTGTATATAAATAATGTAAGGATTTAGATGGGAAGTATTTTATGTATCTTTAAGCACTGTACAGGAGATCATATTCATTAGATCTCTAGCTTGCACTTTGACACAGGTTGACACTGGAAACAAGAATGTTCCAGCCCACACTTAGCTGATGACAACTAAAATCATGATTATTACCTTCTCTTTTAAATCATTAGTTTTCAACTGTAGTAAATGTATGGTTGGCACAGGTCTCCAAGTCTGGGTCCTAAAAATAGTTATTTCTCTTCCCCCTCTTCTCAGATTTTATTTTATTTTCTTCAATAAACGTAGTATAGGTCTTAATAAAACATTTAATCAGTGGTTTAGGATTAGAGCCCATTCCTTGGCACTATCACCTCAAACAGCAGCTAGAGGACCCTAAAATGTCAGTGGGGTTTTTATATACTTAGGAGGGGAAAAAACAACAAGCCAATTGAAATGAGTTCATGAGTACCAAAAATCTGCTAGTCAACATATGTAAATCACTATCTGTAAGGCAAAATACAGAAAATCCAAATTACGTAACATTTGAGTTCCATTTTCAGCAACGACATTAGTAACATTAATATTTAAAACCTGGCAGTTGTGCTGGGTACAGTAGCTCACACTTGTAACCGTGGCACTTTGGGAGGCCAAGTTGGGCAGATCACCTGAGGTCAGGAGTTCGAGACCAGCCTGGGCAACGTGGTAAAACCCCGTCTCTACTAAAAATGCAAAATTAGTCGGGTGTGGTGGTGGGTGCCTATAATCCCAGCTACTCGGGAGGCTGAAGCAGGAGAATCACTTGAACCCGGGAGGCGGAGGCTGCAGTGAGCCAAGATCATGCCACTGCACTCCAGCCTGGGTGACGGATAAAGGCTCCATCTCAAAACAATAACAACAACAAATTTGCTATTAATATGTTCATTACATTACATATAGTTATAACACTCTAACTGGACAGTTACTTTATTTATAGGTTCAGAAATTATTTCTAACATAAGAATTTATCTGAAAATTTTCATACAAGCATGAAATTATTATTATACAATCATTAATGTGTTCTAAACCTACATGTAAGCTTTACTTTTTTGGTTTGTATTAGATATTGTATTTTGAAAGATATTGAAAGATAAAAAATGTACTGTCATTCTGAGACCCTTTCACCTCTGTGGCTAACACCTACCTGTATGTCACCTTTAGCAAGCCTAATAGGCCAATACACTAATGTGTTTCTTTTGAGCAGCAATATCTTATGAGGTTTAACTTGATATTTTACATTTGTGATGATCCCTTATAAAAGTTCCTAAAATTAAAGAAGAAAAAGCATGCTATATTACAAAGAAAGGGACAGAGAGACTCAAGAACTTCAGGGTTCTAACTTCTTCTCCTATTTGGGGAAAAAAAAAAAATGAAGGTCATCTACCAAAAAATGGAGGAAGGCTATAGCTGAATTAATGACTACAAAGCTTGATAAATGAAGCAACTGGAAATACATACTATGTAAGAGAATCAAACAAAGAAAGGGACAGGTCAAAAATTTAACCCATAACATCAAGTTGTATATTTAACTTTTTTTTTTTTTTTAATGTAAAGATCAATGTTTTAAACACCAAAATTAAATGTCTTATATAATAAAAGCTTAAGCCAGTATCCAATTATAAACTTACAATTTCCAAGTAATTCTTTTTCAGGTCATGAAATTCCACCCTCCTTTATTTTACTTTACTTCATCTTATTTTATTTTTCGAGATGGAGTCTCCCTCTGTCACCCAGGCTCACTGTGAACTCCACCTCTTGGGTTCAAGTGATTCTCCTGCCTCAGCCTCCAGGGACTACAGGCGCATACCACCACAACCAGCTAATTTATTTATTTTTTTTTTGGTAGAGATAAGGTTTCACCATGTTGGCCAGGCTGGTCTCAAACCCTTGATGTCAGGTGATCCGCCCACCTCGGCCTCCCAAAGTGCTGGGATTATAGGGGTGAGCCACAATGCCCAGTCTCACCCTCCTTTAAATAAAAACCATATCAGATAATATAAACCTGTTTAATTCAGTGTAAGATCCTGTATTTCAAAATTAATTATGTTTTTTGAAATGTTATCATATAACTTGAGAGCCTAATTACTTTTTGCTGGAAGTTTGTTGTACCAAAGATACTATAATTCACATTTTTATTCTACAGGTACTCAGGTTGATACACAATTGCTGGCAAACTCCTCCATACTGAATTATAAAGTGAAAAATAGTGATCTCAACCTAACTGCATGAGTATTGACTATCTAGCCCATATCCACAAGTTTCTTCTTCCTGACCCTCTATTTTATCAGATTTAGATGGATAACCACTGGTGGATATTATGAAAATGTCTAAAGAATGAAAACACAAAGGGAGCTTAAAGGGTGTTACTGACAGAACACAGAGCTCCTCAGGAGTTCCTGTTCCCTTTCTATCCCATTAGGGCAAAGAATACTTAAGTGGTATTGTTAAAAATAACTCTTAAGCAAAAAAGGGGGGAACCCATAAACATTGGTATAGCTTGTTCTTTTTATACAGGTTAACCCAACACTTTTACTCTGGGTCATCCATCATAAGAAATCAAATCAAACAAAAAATCCAACTCTGTTGTTACAAAAAAATAGAAGGAGAGACATTAAACAGTCATGATATCAGGAACAAGGATTAGGTACTCTCCTAATACTGAAGAGTAAAAGCAGAATGCCAGTGAATAAGATGACTAGGTCTACAGTCTTGAGGGTAAAGGGTAATGATGAAATAGCCATGTGTACCTAAGTTGTCACCTCAATAGGTCTCAAAGCCTGTCCAACATCACCCAGCAGATCACTGTTATTTCTTGCATTTTTATCTATAGAGGATTCCCAATAAGCTGTGTGCATAATTTTCCTAGGTCATCAAGCTAAATTCTATTTAAGGATAAGTGATTAATATAAGCAAGAGTCATCAATGGATGCTAAAATTAGCAAGTGAGCCCAGGGCTGTGGCATGTGCCTGTAATCCCAGCTACTCAGGTGGTGGAGGCAGAGTGAGTACTTGAGCACAGGAGTTTGAGAGCAGCCTGGGCATCACAAGCAAGATACCAGCTCAAAAACATAATTAAAATTTAAGACTGGAATAAGTGAGTGAAAGGTTGACAAATAGAAGGATAGTCCAATAATCTAAAAATATTTTTTCTATAAGATACTTAATAGTTACAAATGAAAAAAGAATAACCTCAAAGTGGAGAAAACCAGCAGACACCACCTTAACATTATGTGCCTTTTGATACAATGTACTGAAAACAGCACATCACTTGTGAGGTATCCTTGTCAAAACCACAAAACTTAAATCTACTTATAATAAAACATTAGGTTAACCCCAAAATGAGGGTCATTCCATAAAGTTACTAGTCTGTACCTAAGAAATGTCAAGGCTATGAAATAGCCTAAGAAATTATTTTAGATTAAAGGAAACTAAAAAGGTGCAACCCCCACTCTTTGGGTAATTGGAAAATTTTTACTAAGATCTGTAGATGAACTAATAACACTATACAATATTAATTCCTGGTTGTATCCCCACTGTTAAAATTTACATACAGAAAAATTCACCCTTTTTGGTATATAGTTCTGTAAATTTTGATAAACACATACAGTTGTATAACTACCACCACCATTAAAAAATGAAAACTTCCATCACTCCCAAAATACCTTGAAATTCTCCTTAATAGTCAACACTCTCCCCACTGAAAAATCACTGATTTGTTGGCTAAATAATGTTTGCCATTTTCAGAATGTCATATAAATGGAATTATATCATGTGTAACCTTTGAATCTGGCTTTTATCACTTAGCATAAAATATCTGAGATCCATTCACGTTGCAAATACCAGTATTTGTTTTCCTTTTATTGCCAAGTAGTATCATCTGCTACTTGGATGTGCCATAGTTTTGTTTATCCATTTAATTTCCTGATTTTGATCATTTGTACTGTGATTATTTTTATTAAAATGTCCCTGATTTTTGGAAACAGGCACTGAAACATTTAGGGGGAATGGAACATTATGTCTGTAACTTTCAAATGGTTTGGAAAAAATAATACAAAAATGGATATATGTGAGTGTGTATATGTATTTATAAACAGATATAATGCAAATGTGGTAACATGTTAACATTAGGTGAATCTATGTGAAAGGGTGTATGTAAGGAGATTCTTTATGCTATTCTTTCCATTTGACTATAAATCTGAAGTTACGTCAAAATAAAAATTAAATTTAATAAATTAAATCCATAATAAAATGTTAAGAAATGAGAGAAAAGTTAGATAAGTAAAAAAATAAATGTTAGGGGAAAAATTCCATCAAATGTAATTAGCATTGTATTCTACTGCCTAACTTTAAACCAACCCTAAGCAAACCTAACTGCTCAGAACAACAGAATCCCAATACTCAGATGGAAAGTTTCATTGTAGTAAATAAACTGTAGAATGTATTTGAGTCCTCAAATAATAATATTCTATGAATAGCAGCTTTACAGTAGTCCCCCCTTACTCAGTTTCACTCACTTAATTTCAGTTACTACAGTCAATCGAGGTCCTCAAATGTTAAATGGAAAATTCTAGAAATAGTTTTCAATTGTGCACCTTTCTAAGTAGCTCTGTCCTGCCCAGGATGTGAATTATCCCTCTGTCCTGTGCATCCACACTGTACATGCTACTTGACCATGAATCATTGACATTGTCTGCTCCTGACATCCCACCACCATCTTCATGGCTCAATAATCCAGGATCACCTGAAGCAGATGGTCCTCCCTCTGGCGTACTGTCAAAGGGTCAATAG